GTTAAGTTACTGTGAAATTGCAAGGCAAGTTAACAATGAAACTATGAAAAGCATATTTTGTACATTAATCAACAAGTAAAAGGATATTAAACAGGTCGAGGAATCTAACTTATATGGATATATTGTTGTAACTGTGCACAGCGGTGTTTACAGCGAACAATGGTCCAATCCAATGAATTAGCCGAAAAGCATGATGGTCTACTACATGTTTATATTTTACTACAAACACGTGGGTCAGGCAAAAGGACGAGATTTCAAATGACTGCGGGAAAGTCAACTAATAATTATTTTGAATGTTTTGGTGAAAAATATGAAGAAAAGGTACTAATTAAGATTTCCCATGCTCACATTAACAAACAAAGTCAATTTTCCGTGTTAAATAGTACGTTGAAATACCGCCCACAAAGTCTTCACAAGTAAATAAGAATCCAGTTTTTATAACTTGATATTCGTAAATTTGCCATGCTACTGGTGTTATTCATTGTTGCTTTGTTATTATTTGTTTACTACAAATTAAAAGTTAATGCATTTATAAACAAGAGGCCCATGGGCCTTGAATCGCTCTTCTGATAAACTGTACAACCTATCACTTCTATTTGAAGCCTCGAAGTATCCTGTATATTTAGATAAACCCTTGAAATTCCAATTCACACTCTGAGAACCCAAGATGATTCTAAGCCAATTAGTACCTGAGAGTTGGTCATGGTGACCTACTTATCACTTGTCATTCTCTGAGGACCCATCAACTAAGTTTGATGATTCTAAGACAATTAATACCTAAAATATTTTTTAAAATTATAACCATAAAATTTTATAAGTAGGTCAAAGTGACCTACTTTTCAATTGTTTTACTCCAAGGACCCAAGATGCATCAACTGACAAAGTTTGATGATTCTAAGCCAATTAGTATCTGTAATATTTAATTAAAGCCATAAATTTTCAAAAGTAGGTAACCGTGACCTACTTTTCAGTTGCTGTACTCCGAGGACCAAAGATACATCGACTGACAAAATTTGATGATTCTAGCCAATAAGTACCCAAAATATTCAATTACTGCCATAAATTTTCAAAAGTAGGTCACGGTGACCTACTTTTCAGTCAACCAACTCCGAGGACCAAAGATGCATCAACTGTCAAATTTTGACGATTCTAAGCTAAATAATTCCTGAAAATATTAAATACAGCCATAAATTTTCAAAAGTAGGTCACCGTGACCTACTTTTCAGTTGCTGTACTCCGAGGACCAAAGATACATCGACTGACAATGTTTGATGATTCTAGCCAATAAGTACCCAAAATATTTAATTACTGCCATAAATTTTCAAAAGTAGGTCACCGTGACCTACTTTTCAGTTGTTGTACTCTGAGGACCCATGACGCATAAACTGACAAAGTTTTATGATTCTAAGCCAAGTACCCGAAATATTTTATTAAAGCCATAAATTTTCCAAAAGTAGGTCATGGTGACCTACTTTTTTGTCGACCTACTCCGAAGACCCAAGATGCATCAACTGACAAAGTTTAATGATTCTAAGCCAATTAGTACCCGAAATATTTAATTAACGCCATAAATTTTCAAAAGTAGGTCACTGTGACCTACTTTTTAGTCGACCTACTCTGAAGACCCAAGATGCATCAACTGACAAAGTTTGATGATTCTAAGCCAATTAGTACCTGAAATATTTAATTATAGTCATATAAATTGAAAAGTAGGTCACGGTGACCTACTTTTCAGTTGACCTTTTTTGAGGACCCAAGATGCATCAACTTACAAAGTTTTATGATCATAGGACTTAAAATGTCCAAATTATGCCTCTAAAACGCTTTGAAATCGAATGCCTGCAAAGTTCAAAAAGTAGGTCACTGTGACCTACTTTTTAATAAATATGTTTTATGGCCCCAAGATGCATCATCTTACTAGATTTAATGATTCTAAGCCTCCCCGTATTCGAATTAATGACCTTAATTGTTTTAAAAAAGATTAGCCATAAAATTCAAAAAGTAGGTCAAGGTGACCTACTTTTTAGTTGACGTACTTTGAGGACCCAAGATGCATCAACTGACAAAGTTTGATGATCATAGGCCTTAAATTGTTCAAAATATGCCTCTAAATCATTTTGAAAAAGAATGGCCGCAAAATTTAAAAAGTAGGTCACCGTGACCTACTTTTGAGTCAACATGATATGAGGTCCTTAGATGCACCAACTGACAAGATTTGATGATCCTAGTCCTTATAGTAAGCAAAATATCAACATTTTAATAAAATGTAATTTTTGGTCAACTTTGAAGTGACCTTGAGACCACGCCCTTTGCCCCAGGGTAAATCCCCGTGCAAATTTTAATCTACAACATATCCTCATCCTTTTGTGTAAGTTTGGTGATAATCTGCCCAGTGGTTCTAGAGAAGAAGATTATTTAGCAACCAGTACTTTTGTTTCTATTTTCCTAATGATCTCCCCTTGTTAAAGGGTCACAACCCCAGTTTTAGTATAAAAGGGAGCCCTTGGGCCAAGGATACCCTGTGACAAATTTGACAATAATTGGCCAAGGGGTTCTTGAGTTATGGCCCATATTCTAAAAAGTTAACGCACACCGCACAAATGGCCATAGCATTAGCTCTTTGAGCCTTTGGCTCAGAAGAGCTAAAAAAAACTTAAGTTTATTGTTGTACGGCATTTATTTTACACAGTATCAAATTTCATGTACATGGATCATAGAACGTGTATTGAGTAGCATATATATCGAAGTTGTATACATAGTAAACAATGACAATACGTGAGTACACCACAGAGTCGATTGTTTTGGACCAAGGAATAGTCACGTGAAATTCATATTCACTGATAGTACAGCACGGGAAAAGCTGCCAGGCAATTGTCAACTAACGGACTTGTACAATGGAGTGTAGGAAACCCATATTTTACCGTTGTAAAACATTTGTATGTAAATGTGAGGATGGAATTAGTAGATAATATTGTATATATTGTATTAAGAGTGTAAAATGCTTGGAAAAATGAATCCTGTCTTTCCGAGATCGATTTGAAAAATTGTCCTTTTTGAAACGTGCATGTAGTATTTTTTGTAGTTACCAATAATGCAACTCATTTAGCCGATTGGTCGGTTTGTCAGTCACGTTGGTGCCTCATTTAGCATGTAAATTTATTCTGAAGTCACAGAAAAAAGTTTCCTTGACCTGTTAAAGTAACTGAAAATTATTGAAAATTTCAAGGCATTATACAATGAGTAGCTCTTCTGCTCCACCTAATTTCTTTGATCCTGAAGAAATTGAAGAACTTGTAAATAACACTGAATACCAAGTTGGTCAGTGTCACCATGATGATCTATCTCGTTTTTTAGTTCTTCAAGTACCTCATCACTGAGAGGACAAGGAACAATCTGTTCCTCTGATTCTTCTTGTGGTTCTTCTTGATCTGCTATCCCAAGATCTTCCACGCCAGACATTTCAGATACTTCACTCTCAATTGTTGGATCAAACAGGTCTTTCACGACAGTTCTCTCAGTACCAAACAGTTCTAAGGCCCTTGAAACAAACAGCTGATGTGGTGACATGTGACCCTCACTCCTCAACCCATGGTGGTTCCACTGCGACTGGAAAAGACTCAAATCAGAGTTGATTCTTGGCAAAAATACAAAATGTAATGCCCACAAGTGGATGGCATTACCTATTTCGAACAAGTGCTCACTTTCCATGTAGGTAAATAGATCATGGTATAGGTTAGTGACTCCTTTCCAGACGTCCACCCACAGACGTTCCACTCTTTGATTGTGTACACTTTTTCCTTGTATAGCACTACCTCTATTCTCCCCTCTTTTGTCCACCATGTATCTACACACAGACACATTCTCCCTACCCATATCACACCGAACACGTGATGGAAGACCATACTCTTCCACTCCCTTTTTAAAAAGACCTAAGTCTGTGGATGCCTTGTTGTTGTTTCTGGCTGCCAGATAGATATTGACTCTGCTGTAGCCATGCATTTATACAGCCATGAATTACAATGTTCCACCCGAAACTTAGAAAAAGACAGGAATCTTGATGAAAGAGAGATGAAATAATCTAAGAAAAAAAAACGCGAGATTCCAGTATTGTTGTTGAAAACACTATTTCTCTAACAAGATTTAACTAACATAAAAAAATAACAATTACAAATCATTAATATTTTATGCCCTATCCTAGTACATGTAAATGGATATAAAGAAATTAAATTTCATATATAAAGCATTCTATCAAGTTAAACACTGACATGAAATGAAATGGAATTTTCATTCTTTATTAGTTATTTTACCTGAGCAGTCTATGGTTTCCATCAAAATGCCACAAAGAATTTGGCCCGGCTACTGAATATGTTCTTCTAATTATCGGTGTTCTCATACTACGCACAATGGCTCCAGCAGGATCTATTTCATTCAAAACTTCCCTTATCCGTCTTCTTTGAATTATGATACCTTGACTTGCCAGTCTAGCTCTCACCGCATTTGGACCGATCTGTTGGTTCTCTCCAGTAATATTCTTTATCATATTCTTTAGATATTCATCACTCACTGGTGTATATTTTTTGACCAAACTGATATTCCCTATAACCAATGAAAAACACATGCAATGAATGTTTTTTAAAAACCTTTTAAAACTTTTTATTTTTACATGATCAAATAATTGTTCCCGGTCTGCCGCTTTTACACCAATATTTATGCCAGAAACTTTAATCTCGCTTATAACCTTTAAAGTAAAAACTGTGGAGCCTTCACACACACTTGTCAAAAGGGTGGACTATTATTAGATCCATCGTCGGAAACCCACGGTCGGTCTCGCTTCTCTTACCTCCCGTGGGACACAAGGCCGAAAATTTCGCTTGGAGGTGTGTCTCAATACCGCATTTTCATTGGTCGCAATACGATACCGTATTGCGATGTGTAGCTTTTAATTACCCAATAAAAATCATCGTTGCAACCCGTATGTCGGGAAGGATTTTGCAAACAATATGGAGACGTACGAGGCGAAAGTGAAAGAAATTTTTCAAATAAACGAGCTAAAAGACTTTCAAAGAGAGTCTTTGGCAGCACTGCTGAAGAAAAGAGATGTTTTTCTGTCTATCAAAACCGGAGGTGGGAAAAGTATTTGCTACCAGGGTTTTCACACGGCATATAACGCTAGTTTTGACGACAACAATCCGATCTCAGTTTTGGTCGTCTCACCTCTACTTTCCATTATGCATGAACAGTGCAATTCATTGAATAGTTTAGGATTTCTTTCAGCATTTATTGGTAAGCAGCCTACTTTTATATGACCTATTTATCTACATAAACTATATATACAGTGTAGATGATGAAACTCATTTTTTGATAACATGTAAAAAATATGATCATCAAAGGAAAGAAATTTTTCAGTCAATTAAATTTCCGAATTTCTCGGCGTTAGATGGTGAACAAAAACTTTTTTGGTTACTCAATACTGAAGACAAAGACACTATTAATTTTGTGGGCAAATTCATAAATGATAACATGTAGCCATACACTTTAATATATAGTATTCCTTTTCACTGAAATAGTGCAATATTATTGTTGAAATGAGCAATGTCATTTACAAATTATTATACTATCAATTGGCATATCTTTTCCTTATTATTGTAATAATTTCATACTTGTCTGTTATGGGCTCTAAATTTATAAAATAAATGTTCTGTTCTATAATGTAATTGTATTGACATGCATGGGCATTGGCCATGTCGATCTCACTCACTTTTCCCCTCTGCTATGTTATGTGATGATTCAGAACCCCTCTATTAAACATTCATGTTTCTGTATCTGTGTGCGTCGTAGCACTCAATACTGGTTTTTATACGACAGGAAACATGTAAATGTTGATTTTTTTTCTGACATTTTTATTTATAAAAAATTATGTCAAAACAAACATTTTCCCAGGTACATGTATTAGTATATTGTTAATTTAACTATTCCTTCATGATATAGGTGGTGAAAACGACGATTCCATATTTAGAAATGAAATGCAATTCATTTTCACCTCACCTAAAAGTGTGCTAAATGGAAAGTGGAGAGATTGGGTGACAAACAATTCAACCATTAGATTAATAGCTGTAGATGAAGCCCACACAGTGTTACATTGGTAAGTTTATTTATGAAGGGAAAAAATGATGCATTGTTACAATCCATCAAAATTTGAGCAATTCAAACAGGGTTTAAATTATTCATCTCATTTTTTAGGGGAGAGTCTGCGAGCGAGGAAGACCCTTTCAGACGTTGGTATGGTCGATTAGGGGAACTGCGAAGCCTTGTGGAATGTCCTGTAATTTTGATGACTGCCACAGCAAATTCAGCTGCCAGGAAAGCCTTACAGAGAAAATTTTGTATGACAGACTGTTTAGAAATTATAGAGAACCCAGACAGGAACAATATTAAATTATTTTTACAGTGTGTTAAATACAACACTCCACTAGAGAATACATTCTTCTTTCTAATTCTGATGTTGAAAGAGAAAAGGGAGCTCTGTGATAGGAATCTGATTTTTTGCCCTGCTATCAGAACATGTAGTAAATTGTACACTATGTTTAGAATTATGTTTAAAGAAAATGTTAAATTGATTGACCATATCGAAATGTATCATTCAAAAACCACAGATGATGTTAAACAATTAGTAAAAGAGGATATGTCTAAAGAAAATGGCAAAATTAGAATTCTTATTGCTACCAGTGCAGCTGGTATGGGTGTGAATTTCAAAGGAGTGAAATATACAATTAATTATGGTTGCCCCCGAGATATGGATACTTTTGTTCAGCAGTATGGCAGAGCAGGTAGAGACGGTGGCTCAGCAATGTCTTTATTGATTTACACAAAACGTGATATTAAATGTATAGATGATGACATGAAATTATATGTTAAAAATGAAACCATTGTCGCCATGAGAATATATTGTCTTCCTATAAGAGTAAACCTGCTATGGATAGGGACATGCATATGTGTTGTGATATATGTGATAAGAAGTGTCATGTGAAAGATTGTGAAAAATGTAGTTTAGCACAACATCCTTATTATAAAACTCAATTTCCAGCTTTTTCTTCAGATTAAAGTAGCCAGGATGATCATGACTTGTTTACAGATTCAGATTGGGAGTAAGCATTAAGATGTAATACATGTAATTCAAAGTATCCTTAAAAAATATGGACGAATACATTGCTGCATTTCATAAATCAGTCAGTATTCTTGTATAATTTTGCCAATATATATTGTCAGCCTTTGTGATAGACCTATTTTTTAAAAATATGTTAGGGTTCATTTAAATCTGTGATAAGACACATTTTCACTGGGATACAGAAACTTGGGAAGAGGCACCATTCCTCATTATAACTATGTACTTAGATCATCAGCATAATACCCAGGAGCAGAGGAGAAGATTTTCAAAGAATTAATGCATTTTCACTATATAATCATTAGAACCCCGCCTAACACCAGAACCCCTGACCCAGGGGCCTTGAAATTCAAAATTCTTGATGAAGCACCATTGCTCATCATAACAATGTAATTAGATCACTGGGATTATACCCAGGAACAGAGGAGAAGATTTATTAAGAATTAATACATTTTCACTATATATTCAACAGAGCCCCGTCCTAGCACCAGAACCCCTGACCCTGGGGCCATGAATTTCACAATTTTGATAGAGGGCTCATTGCTTATTACAATCATGCCAACACTAATTTTAGTGGTTTTGGCCCCACCCCTCAGGCCCCAGGGGGGCAAGGACCATGAAATTCACATTTTTTGTTTCCTTCACCCATAGATGCCATATGCCAAAACTGGTTGAAATTGGTTAAGCGGTTTCAGAGAAGAAGCTGAAAATGTGCAAATGTTAACACACGATGCACAACTGACGAAACAGATAGCAATATGTCACCTGAGTGACTCGGGTGACCTAAAAAAAAAATATTTATTTTCAAAAATCATTAGTATTATAAACAAACTTTTTTATGAGAGAGGAAGGATGAAGTTTAATTTAAACCCTTAATTGAAAGCACTGAAACAAGTTTTTGTTTATACTTCAAATTTATGAATCAGTTTGTACTCCTTTAAAGCTTGTACATATTTTATTTGTTTTATATACGAGGTTTATACATACATGTATATGTTCAACATGGTAAATTGTCATCTTTATAACATCTACCTCCTGTACCATTACATATATAATGGTGTACTGATCAAGCTATACTACTGCCATTTTTACAATAAATGCTTGAACTTGAATCTGATTTTGTTTTTAGAAAATAAAACACACTGAGTTACTATGTCACAACAAAACTGACAGAGTTAGATAAACAGATGGACATTGTAATTCCCATTTCATGCTTGGCCCTAATAAGTTTACATGTACAAGTCAGCAATGTTCTTTTGTTCATGTATCCATTCATGTAATTTAAGAATGTCAATTTGGTGAATCGGATCTTTAAATTTGGAGAAACTCTCCCAGCAAAGATCTGACACTGGTCCTTTGCTTCTCAAAGATTTAACCATAGTAATGATATCAACTGTTTTATCAACATCCGGCCTGTGTCTTGACGACTTCACTATTTTGGTAGTCCTCAAAAGCTGATCTTTAATGCTGTCAATGACTTGTGTAGTCATGCAAATTGTTTTTGCTGATTGAAAGGATTTATTTGCTCCTTGTGTGTTGAGTTCTCTCTTGATGTTGCACACTTGCAGTTCTACACAGTTGTCATTAAGGATATTGTTGTAAATGCCGCCCTTCAGATTTACAGTCATATTCCACATATACTCAAATGCCTGGTCAGGTGGAAGAATAGAATTAACATATGTGAGCATTCTCCACAACCAGATCTTATACTTTGAGTGACTTAAAGCAGAGGCATACAACCACTCAAACTTGGCATTACGCATGATACGGTCCCCGTCACCCATTTTGTATGCATCACAGGTATCACGGTAGAGAAGGGACATCCTTAGAAAGGATGTAAGTGGTTGATCAGGATCTGATAACTGTAATTTCATGAAAGATCCAGTTGTGCTTTTTCAGTAGATGTTTCTTAAGCCAACACTTCCTAATATATGTTTTCCCACACATTGCACAAGAGAAAGAAAGGTCTTGTTTCATGGCATCTATCTGTACATCATCAGTACTTAGATCTTCCAAGTGTGATCTAAAATATCAAAATAAATAATTTTTTTAGTACTAATAATTTTAGATTCATAAGTATGAAAAATGGAGACTTATGGCAAAAATATTAAAGACTGGTGAAAACTTGACTCTATTTGATCATGATCTTTTTGCTTGGGTGAGCTTATAATTGCATCTATCCAAGGTATAGCACTCATAAAAATACAACATTTGGTTCATACAAGAAAAGGGATTTTAACCTTATGTCTAAGAAACTTTTCCAGGAATTTAAGCCAAGTGCATTAAGAACATCTGTGGCAACATTGGTAATCCATTCCATTTTGTTGTCATTGTTCATTAATGAAAAAACAGGAGCATGTGAGGGTTGTGATGTAACTTCCTCCATGTCCATGATGTCCAAAAATGTTGACACAATGTAGGAATCTGTCACATCCTGGATGAATTGATGATGGGATCTAAAGGAAAATATAACAAGGCACACATTATTAACATTCTTTTTTATCTGTTGTTATTTTCAAATTCATATTGCAAAATACTTGACTTGGATAGTTCAACTTACCTGAAGTTATTTGTATCTTCCTTTGACCCAGTCACTGACCGACGGTTGATAGCATTCCTCAGTTTGTATAGGGAACCCTGGTCTGATGCACTGCTCTCAGTGTAGAATAGTTGAAATATTCCCTGAAAAAATATTATTGTGAAAACTGAAGAAATGGAATAGATTTAGACTTAAGACATCTTTTAAGGGTATAAAATTAAAACTTAATCAAAAAAATTCAGAATTGTCTGAAATCTACATAATTATGCAGATTAAGTAATTACATGTAATTTATCAATAAATATGCAACTTGTACCATGTACAAAAGGATTAGTTGTTAGTAAAAACTAGAACTATAAAGCAATAAAATCAAATCATGCTAAACAAAAAAACATTGGAATGGCCTATGATGGGCTACGACTCCCAGTTTCTGAAACCTATGTATACTATCTACATGTACATGATGTACTAAGATAATTTAAGGAACTGATAATATATACCAATAATTAGAGGGCAACAAGTGATAAATGAATGATAGTAATGAAATTCATGCTGAAAAAATGGAAAATGCAGTTTATGACCTACTAAAATTTTAAAGCCAAATTGATAATCTGGATGCAAAGAACATGAGCAAGTCTGCAGAGTTTCACAATATTTCCACCTAATTGTCATTGCAAAGTTAAAGATGAAAATATGTATGGCACTTCATGTGTAAGTAAAATTATAAGTACTATATTATCTCTGCAAAATACTTACTCTAATTCATAAAAGCAAAAACAACTGGAACTAAAACATTCCTGAACAGGGTGTGTTACCAATAAGAAGTTCATCTCCCTGTGAAAACCTTCTGGCCTGTGAACAAGCCCCCCAAGCATATCATAATCTGATTTTGCATTTTGCATGGCTTCTTGAGCTGTAAATGCTCGCTCATTGGTGAGAACATCTCCACCAAAAACAACCCTGTCCATTATTTTCTGATCTTTTTCAACAGCTTGGAAAACCAGTTTATTCACATTTTGCAAAATTGTTATCATTCCCTCTGATGAATTTTCACTAGCTTCTACTAAGTCACAATTCAGAATGACTGATTTCTGTCGAGTTTTGTCCATAAAACAACCTGGCACACACTTTTGTAAGGGTTTCAGAAAATCGACATAGGTAATAAGGACTTTAATAATATGAAATTTCATATTTTCAATCAATGTGTGCAGGTCACCTGAAGATGGTAACCATGCACTGGTTGGTAACTTCAAAATATCCCTGGTTTCTCCATTCTCTTCTGTTGATCTAGGGTGTTTATCATCTGACATGATCCTCTTCTCTTTCACCATTGTCAGAAACCAATGCAAGCTCTTTCTCTGAGACATCATTGTCATCTTAGCAGGAGTAATTGTGACATCTAAATTGTCCCCTATGATTTCTATGCCATGTTTAACATCTAAGAGTCCTGGATTTTCAGGTGAAGGGTAATAAGAATGTAAATACCTTGTCATTGTTGCTGACACCTTCTTCTCCTGCTCTTTGATCAGCTGTTTCTTTTCTTTGTTGACAGTGCTGCTTGCCACAGAAATTCCAAGGTCATGAAGAATTTTCAAACCCTAAAACCAATGAACAGTATTATTTTTGATTCACACCTTTTTTAATAGATATTTGACTACATCAGGATTAATGTGACTTTTTTTTTAAAATTTCAATCCAATTTTAATAATTTTTAAAACTAATTTTAAATACCTCCTTTGACACTCCACACTTGTCTAGTGTTAGACCAAGGATGTACTGTAACTGATTTACTGATCTTGATCTGCCATAAAGAAGTACACCTATTGACATTATTAGCACTGGAAGGTTCTGCTTCTTTTTTACATCTATCAAGCTGCTCATAATGGTAAACAGATAAGGAATCCCTTCCTTGAGTTTTGATTCCACAAAAGACCAGTCAAGATTCATCATACTTTCACTCTTTTTGCATTTTAATAGGGCACTTTTTTTGTTAACTACACAGTCAATTTCTTTTTTCATCTTTTTTACACACAACTGAAATAATGCATCCATATAGCTGGTATCTTTGCATAAATTCTTCAGGACAGCATGAGGTGATCTTCTGTTAAACAGTGATTTTAAGGCTGCCTTAGAATTTTCATCTCTTACTACTCTACTTACATCAGCTCCAGCAATCTTGGTGACAATCTACAATGGAACACTGAAAAGTTTATGTATTTTGTATATATGTACATATTCTATGAAACAAAAGCATCATCACAGATGACATGAAATGATGTATAGTTCACATATACATGTAACAGTTAGAACTCTTGCAATAATGTAGATTTTCATATCTTCAATATTAGTAACATAAAGATTGAAAGTGTCAAAGTGAGTAGTTTAATTTCATTTGCCCTTCTTCTTAATCAAGAAAATATGGGATAGTCATTTATGAATTTAAAGTAGTGACCAGATATTGGACAGTAAAAGGCAAAGGCTGCATGACCCTAGCCCATTGAAAAATTTATCAAAAATTACCTTTACATCAAAATTTTCTGACACATGTGTTTGTGTTGATTTATCCTCCTTGCATGGTAACTTTGACTGGAGACTATGATTTGGGTTCTGGTGCAGAAGTAGTTTGTCAGGTGTTTTAAAGAGAGCTTTTTTACTTTTTCCTTTTGGTGTTGGTGTCTTATCTAGGGACCTCTTCACTGCACTTACCCTGGGTGTACTGGGCTTAACATGCCCACTTGTCTGTTGATGTTGTCTTAGAACATCTTAAAACAAATTATAAATCCCTGTGTAAATTTATGTATGCAATGCTTTTATAAACAAGGCAACAATTTCTAGATTTTTAAATAGCTGGCAGAACTTTTTTGTTTAACAATAGTTATTAGTAAATAGAATATTCAATACACAGAACTGATATCGAATTCAAGCCCTCATTCTTTGATAAATATTTATACACTGTTATAGACACCTCTTCATGAGAAGTAGGTCAAAATGTTTCCAAATTTGTCTGAATCCAAATATCACATACCTAACAACTTTTCCCTCTCAGTTTTCAACTGCTCCACCTTTGCTCGCACACTTTACTCGATCTTGGATATTCTATTTAATTTATTGGTGCATAGATTACACGCATATGAATTGCTGGTCGGGAAAAAATTTAACCTTGTAAATGCATAATTATACTGTTCAATTGATGTTTTAGAGCTTAATGCTCCATATCCCCTGTCCTTTATAACACATAAGCAAAAAGAGCATTCTTTTACGTGCCCCGAGGCTGCCATAGTTTACAAACACTATCAAACAGCAACATGACATTATTCTCATGGGCGCCGCCATTACTGTATGCCTAATTTGATAACGTCGATTTTCATTGGCCCTCGAAAGGTCGCATTAGGTTACGCATATCAATGAGTCTAGCGAAATTTTCGGCCTTGTGTCCCACGGGAGGTAAGAGAAGCGAGACCGACCGTGGGTTTCCGACGATGTATTAGATCATTCAGATGGTGTAACTAAGCTTATACTGAGTAATTTGGATAAAGACTGGAACACAATTAGCTCACCTGAGCTTAAAGCTCGAGTGAGCTTTTCTGATCACATGGAGTCCGTCCGTTTCTAAACTTTTCACATTTTCAACTTCTCAAGAACCACCGATTCAATTTTAACTAAAGTTGCTACAAAGTATCCTTGGGAGAAGGGGAGTTAAAATTCTTAATATGCAGGGCCAAGCCCCTTCCAAGAAAAGACAAAAATAGGGTGGGGTCATTAAAAAATCTTCTTCTCAAGATCCACTGGGCCAGTATAGCTGAAACTTATGTGAAAGCTTCCTGAGGTAGTGTAGATTCCAAGTTTTCAAATTATGGTCCCCGGGAGTAGGGTGGGGCCACAATGGCTAATCAACGTATATAGAAAACATAGGTAATCAGAGATTACAGAGCTAACCTCAACGAATGTTGTCTTTAAGTAAGGCAAAGTTCCACACTAAACTAATAATCTAGTAGTGTGCATCCCTATATGCAACAATCCCTAGATGCAACATTTATGCAATTTTGGTCTTATAGGGATTGAGGTTACTTGGGAGTGGACTTATCTAAAAACATAAAACTAGTCACTCATCCAGAAAATGTAAGTCAAATCCAGCATCTGAAGCAAGTTTGAGAGTGTTCATCCCTTGATGCATCATCCATGCAAGTTTGGTTCAGATAAGGCTTATAGTTACTTGGAAATGAAATCTGCTCCAAAAACTTTAACCTGGTCACTAATCCGGAAAATGTAGGTCAGATCCAGCATTTGAAGCATGTTCAGTAGGCTAGTGTGCATCCTTAGATGTATCATCCATGCAAGTTTGGTCAATATAGGGCTTATAGTTACTTGGAAATGAGACCTGCTCCAAAAACTTTAACCTGGTCACTCATCTGGAAAATGTAGCTCACATCCAGCATCCGAAGCAAGTTCAGTAGGCTAGTGTACATACTCAGATGTATCATCCATGCATGTTTGGTCAATATAGGGCTTATAGTTTCTTGGAAAATGAGATCTGCTCCAAAGACATTAACCTGGTCATTCTTTAGCTGAAATTGCAGCATCTGAAAACTTGACTGGTACAATGAAACACACTAGAAGCATCCTCCATGCATCTCTGATTAATATAGGGCATAGAAGTACTTGGTAGTACTACTTCAAGGATATTCCTATGAAATACTATTAAAATGAAATAGCTGATGCTTTGTCCCGCCGTCCGTATCCTGAGACAACAATTACGGTAGAGGACCCAGAAGACATTATCCCATCACCTGATGTACAGTGCTTCACCCCCGTAGAGGAAGAAAAAGGTACACAAGCAACGTTTTTCTATGCCGACCATCAGCGACCATTCCCTAAAACCATGGAAACAGAAACAATATACCCCGTGGACACTACTTCTATTGGTGATCTTCAACAGAGCTGTTCCAGATTTCAAAGCTTTGTACAACTATTTCTCAGATAAGGATCTACCAGAGGACAAGAAATGCAGAGATAGACTACTCAGTGAATCCATTTTTTATGTTTTTTTTGATGGCGTTCTTTACCATTATTACCAACCAAGATCCAAAAGGGCACATCATCCAAACAATCACCTTAAACAACTGGCAGTACCCCGTTGTCTCAGAGAAGATGATATACGGTCATACCACGACAGTCTAGCAGGAGGTGCACATCTTGGATTTGAACGTACATACCGTGCCATCCAGTTAAAATATTATTGGCCTGCTATGTATCAAAATATAGCAGATTATGTCAGATCCTGCAGAGAATGTCAATTGTCCAAAAGACCAACACACCATGCTCCAGCACCATTGACACCAATGCAGATTTTCCCGAATCCACATGGACATCCTTGGCCCACTTACCAAAACAACAGAAGGACATAAATACATCCTTTTAATTGTGGACTCTTTCAGCAAATGGCCAGTTTTTTAAGTGTTTGTTCAGACATTGAGTCACCATACATTGGTGTGAATAAATTTTTTAGTGTCTCATAGATTGCAAACTTTTGTTTAGTGTATATATACAAGTCTTTTTTTTTTTTCAAATTTATTTCCCAGATCCTACTTATTAACAATTTTTGATATATATATACTAATAAGTTGGCAGCTGCCAGGGATGGGGCCCTGACTAAGCTCCATTACAAGTATAACATTGTAATTACATGTACATGTTGAATTTTCTTGATTTGAAATTAGCATTTCGTAGAATGCTTAGATAATATGTGCAAACAAAATAATAAATATAATTATAATTATACAATTTTAAACGAACAAATACTGTATAGCTGTCAGGAAAATCATCGGTATTTTACATTACATATGTAAACAATATATATTTACGATATATAGAAGGGAGGTAAATCTATCACCATCTCAGAGTCTCTAATTTTACCTCCCTTCTTATGTACGTCCCGAGGGCCTGGTCCCCCTCAAAGACATAAACATCTACATTTTTCTTAATAATTTTTTGAAAAATATGGAATAATTTTTATTTCCCACAGCATGTAAAATTTCAGAATACTTAAATTAAGTAATATTCTTTCAGCTGTTTCATCAACATTTTCTAATCGACAATACATTTTATATTTATATATCTTAAAAGCCACAAAAGACAACAGTAAATTATATATGACAGTGGTTTCATTTCTAACATTGTAAAAACCAAAAATTATGTGTTTCCATTTTATATCAAAACCTAGAAAATCGCTCACTCTATTCCATAAAAGCTGCACATTTGCACACTCAAAAATTAGGTGCTTTGAATTTTCTACAACTTCGCTACATATTTTACATACGTAATTAGAGTTTTTGTTTATCTTGCTTACAAAATAATTATTTGATAGTATATTATTTATTAGCTTATAGTTAAATTCCGCGATTTGTTTATCTTTCATTAACTCTATCTTATTTATATAGATTTTTTCCCAGTCGCTTTTAAGTATATTAAACTCTTTATTATATTTTGCTTGCACAACTGGAACTTGAAATTTGCTCTTTAAAAATTCATTATAAAAGAATTTTGTTGAATATTTATTAAAGCATGGGGTATTTAATGACATTTCCTTATAATGTTGACACACATTGAAATCATATTTTTCTTCATATTTCTTGAAAATTGATTTTATTATTTTATATTCACATAACCAATTACTCTTATTGATTAATATCCCTGCCATTTCATCTGGTGATTTTAAAGTCCCATTTTCGGAAAATATGTCTTTAACAAACAATATACTGCTCTTAAGCCAATTCTTAAAGAAAATTGTTTTTCCTTTATATGAATATCTTAGATTTGACCATATCGGTTGTTTAAGAAAATTTTCAATATTGAGGTTGTCTTGTATATGTTTGCATGCGTTGAAGCAGGTGAATACTTGTTTATAGAATAAAGGCATATTTTGTATTATTTCGTAATTTTCTATTTTATTTTCCGTTGTATTTATCACATAATCGATATCTATATTTATTGGAATACAGTAACTATTTACGTAATTCTTTATGCAGTGACCTGTTTCTTTCAATCTACGAACCCATGTGGCTTTTAGTGCTCTAAACTTAGATTCAATATCAGTTATCCCTAAACCACCATCCTTAACATGGCCAACCATTGTGTTCCTTTTGATCCGATCAGTTTTATTCCATATAAAATTGAATATTAGTCTATTAATGTTTTTAATATAACTTCCATTGGGTGTTTCCAAAACACTTGCTATGTAAATGAGTTTTGCTAGCGCTAGAGAGTTTATTATAGTACATTTCCCAAATATTGTTAATTTTCTTCTCTTCCAAGATTCAAATAGAGTCTCTATTTCATGATAGACTTTCATCCAGTTCTTATTATAACATTCAATTTTATCGTGACCTATATAAATACCTAGACACTTTACTGCCTCGTTTGTTACTGTAATGCCCTCTATTTCTCTAAAAAGATTTTTTAGAGGACCAAGAAGAATGCATTCAGTTTTGTTAATGTTTATTTTAGAACCTGCATGGATGCAGAAATTGTTTATAGTTTCCAAAGCTTGTTTCAGAGATTTAATATTTTTTAATGTCAGTGTCATATCGTCAGCATGCTGTAAATTTTTTACTTCTTTTTCCATGTAATCAGCTTGAAAACCTTCTATACTTTCATTCCCTTTAATCTTAATAGACAAAATTTCCGCAACAAAAAGATACAAAATGGCTGATATTGGACAGCCTTGTCTGATTCCTCTTTTCATTTTACATGTTTTTGAAATCCATCCATTATTCTTTAATCTAAAGATAGGGCTGTAATACAGGGTTTTTATCCACTTTAAGAAATTCGGACCGAAATTAAATTTTTCTAAAGTTTTGAATAAAAAATTCCATTCGACTGAGTCGAAGGCTTTTTCAAAGTCTAAAAATAATAAAATTCCTTCTTTGTTATAGCTTTCACAATAATAAAAAAAATCTAGTATAAAGCGGGCATTCAATCCTATAAATCGGCCTTTTATATACGCTGTTTCTTCATATCCTATTTGCTTGTAAATAATCTTCTGTAATCTACGTGCAAAAATAAAGGTTATAATTTTGTAATCTGTGTTAGTAAGACTAATTGGTCAATAGTTTTTTAAAAGATATTTTCCCCTTTTTTGTGTATTAGAGAAATAACTGCGAGTCTTTGAGAAAAAGTCATTTCTTCATTCAAGAAAATTTCCTTTAACATTTCATAAAATAAAGGGGATAATTGATTCCAAAAACATTGATAAAATTCGCTTGGTATTCCGTCTAGTCCAGGGGCTTTATTTGATTTCATATTCATAACTGTTTCTTTACATTCAGATATTGAGGGGAAAACATCACATATGTCTCTATCCTTGTTAGAAAGTTTATTTACATTACAACCGTCTAAATATAGGTCAATATCATCGCTCGGCACTAATTTTGAAGTATAAAGATTTTCATAAAAATCACACATTGCACCAAGTA